GCAGAGAGGGCTGCCACAGGCTGCCTACAGGTGTCTGAGTGCGCCCTGACCTGCCCAGACGTGGTGTGGTCTGCGGGGCCGAGGCGAGACCGGCAACTGCTCTCCCTGCCCGGCCAGGCGTGCCCTGGAAGCTGCATGTCTGGATTGAGTCCCTGCGGACCTCCTTCTCCCAGTCGCGGTACTCAGTGGTGCAGAGCCTCCTGCGGGACTTCACCTCCATCAGGGAGGAGGAGTACAACGAGGAGCTGGTGACCGAGGGCCTGCAGCTCATGTTCGACATCCTCAAGGCCAGCAAGGTGAGCGCGCCTGGGCTCACGGCCACTGGGACAGGGACGGATGGGCAGACAGACACAGGGGGACACATGCAGGTGGACAGACACGGGCGGACACACACGCGGGCAGACCCCCACCGGCACTGCCCGGCTACAGAAGGCAGAGGCTGCGACTGATCTAGGACAGAGGCTGGCCGGAAAAGCCACACGGGGCCTCGGTGAAGGCACAGGCCGCTCGCACCAGGCCAGCTCCCACAGCAACAGAAGGCGGCAGCGGCCCTCGCCCTGCCCAGGCTTTCCAAGCCTGCCTGCGGCATCTGCGAACCAACCACCCTGGCGGGCTAATGAACGCCCCACCCACGTCCCTGCAGAACGACGCGGTCACCCAGCAGCTGGCCGCCATCTTCACCCACTGCTACGGCAGCAGCCCCGTTCCCAGCATCCCGGAGATCCGGAAGACACTGCCAGCCAGGCTAGGTGAGCCCGCCCGGCCCCTCGCTTTCCCTCACCCTCCCTTCTGTCTTTCATGCCATGTCCCCTCCCAACACGGCTCAAACCCTGGAGGGAGCTCCGAGGCCAAGCCCCGTCCTTCCCCGTTTGCGCAGACCCTCACTTTCTGAACAACAAGGAGATGTCGGACGTGACCTTCCTGGTGGAAGGGAAGCTGTTTTACGCACACAAGGTCCTGCTGGTGACAGCATCTAACAGGTAGCGCGGCTCCACCCCAGGGCCACAGGCAGCCAGTGTCGGTTCCCAGGGACAGACATACGGGGACGAGTGATGGGCCAGGCTGTCTTCTCCGTGCCATCCACGGGCAAAGACAGGCAAACGGATGGCCTGCAGGGCCGGTGGGGTTCTCGGGGAGCTGGGCGACGGTCCCCCTGGGCGGGTAGTGCCTGTGTCACTCAGGTGTGAACTCTGGGATGAAGTGGCACCCCAGCCATGGCCGCTGCTCACTTATGCCGGGCCATGGAGAGGGCCGGTGCTCTGCTCGCCAGGACGAGGCTGGGAGCACAGCAGTCTCCCGGCAGCAGGGTGCCATCCCAGGCCTGCCACGGTTGTCTGCTTTGCTCCAGGTTCAAGACGCTTATGACCGAAAAATCCGAGCAAGATGGCGACAGCAGCAAGACCATCGAGATCGGTGACATGAAGTACCACATCTTCCAGGTGGGCAGCTGGGGGCCGGCTGTGGCCTGTCTGTCTGGCCTGGGCAGCTGGGGACTGGCCGTGGTCTCCACGATGCCCTGGGGCCTCTGTGGTGCTGAGCGTGTGGTCAGGCTGGTCTCAGGGGCTGGAGGCCCAGGCCCACGTGCACATGTGCGTCTGCCGTTTGTCAGAGGAGGCACAGCACAGAGCGTTTCCTGGGAGCCAGCTGGAAACGCAGACCCCCGTGGGCCATGCGCCGGGCAGCTCGAGAAGTGCTGGTGTCAGCCGACTCCAGCCAAGCCAGCATGCAGGACAGCCACGACAGGTCGAACCTGGAGAAGCTCGAGGTCAAGTTCTGGGTCCTGAGCTCTCCAGCCCAGACCTGGGCTGGCTGCGCTGGCAGCGCCTCCCCGCCAGGCCCTCTGCTTTGCTGCCCTGCAGAGCCTATGCCGGCTGGGCATCTGCTCACACGTGCCGCCCTCCGGGCTGTGGCCCAGCTGGCCCGAGGAAGCTGTGGTTCTCCCCTGGCTGGGAGCCTCCCCAGCTCCAGCGCCCACACTGCAGCAGGACGGGGCAGCGCCACTTCCCGACCCGCACAGCCAGCCAGGCGGGCACAGGGCCTCCAGGCCAGGGCTCCGGCCTTCTCACCATGGGAGGGAGTCAGGACACGCAGGACTCATCATCCCGAAGTCCCAGTGGGCGGCATTAGTACGCTTCGCAGGCAGGCAGGCAGGCAGGCAGGCAGGCAGACGGTCGCACTCCCCCACCCCAGCTCCCTCCCTCCTAGCTCCCCACCCTGTGGGGACTCAGGACATTTGTGACTGGGCTGGGCGGCCTTCCCCAGCTGTGGACTGCTCCTTCCCGGGCTGCAGGGTTGGCGTGGGGACCCCAGGAGGTCCCTCTGGAAGGGAGTCGGGGCTAGGGTCTCAGAGCAGGCCCCCCAGAGGTGGCTGTCTAGGGAAGGCAGTGTCCAGTGTTGGGGAATCGGGGCTGGAGCCAAGCTGGGGGGCAGGGTTGGGGGCCCACGGATGGGGGATGGGAGGGTAGGGCCAGGCCCCAGGAGCAGCTGCGCAGCACTTGGGGCAGGGAGACCGTGTCCTGCGGCGGACATGGCCACCGCGCTCACACGGCCGCCCACCGCAGATGGTGATGCAGTACCTGTACTACGGAGGGACCGAGGCCATGGAGGTCCCCGCTGCCGACGTCCTGGAGGTGAGGGCCCCTCTAGGACTGGAGG